GTTTGAAATTGGCCAGGGTGGGAAAATTTACACCATGGAAATTGGCAAATGCTACATACAGATCAGAGTTATTTATTTATTTTCTCCCAGAGAGCTAGTTGTTCAGCCTTTACCAGCAACTACTGGCTGGAATGTAGGTGGGAGGAGGAATGGACAGGGGCTGCCCTGTTGGGAAGGACCACCAGGGTGGAAGAGGCAGAGAGGCCCCCAGTCCTGTCACAGAAACAGGGAGTTTTCCGAGAGGGTGGGCAGCAGGGACAGCAACCACAGGTCCGGGAAGGGGCACTGTCAGCCTCCCTCCAGCAGTGTCCATGGGGAGGGGTCGGGAGCTGAGGGTCAGAGAGGGCCTGGGAAGCAGAATCTCCTCAGCGGATGGAGCCACTTCCTGCGATGGTGCCGGATGGGAAATACCCACCTCTCCAAGTGCAGGAGACCAAGTCATATCTATATATGGCCTTGCTTGTGCTTTCAACTATGCAGTACATATGCATGTACATATAAGGCCTAGAGAAACACACACCAAGACGTTAACCGTGTTATGTCTGTATGATAGGACTATGGGTGCTTTAATTTTTTAAAAAATCGCTAACCTATGTTTTCTAATTTTCTTCCGTGGCATTAGAAAGACCTCTGTGATAAACATTTAAATAGAAAGGAAAGCTTGATTGCTGGGAAGGCAAGTGGAGGACAACAGGAGGAGAAGCTGCTGTTTCATGGGCCGGGGTGTTGATGCCACAGTGGGCTCTGTTGGAGAGCCAGTCGGGGGAGAGAGGAGAGATGGGGAGGCAGCTCCCAGGAAGACCAAACGGGAATAGAAGTTTGCTTTTGAAGAGAGAAGAGAGCTCTTAGCTTTCCTCTGGGATAGCGGTTTTAACCAGGGTTTTGCAGCACATTGGTGTGCCATGCAAAGTTTTAATACATACTGTACCTGGCTCTGAAGTCAGGGGCACTGACCTCTTGACCCTCAGCGGCTGAGATGGGCAGGTGTGGAAAGGACCTGTCCCTGCCTCCCCAGGCAGGTGGGACTTCAGTCCTTGTGGAAAGAGGGGAGGATGTCTTCTCACCTGCGCCTCCACCCACTGTGGGCCAGGCCACCAGCTGCTGTCACTCCACACCGTGTCCATTAGCCCTTTCCATCCAAGTTCTACTTTGAACTTGAAACCAGCAAGAAATGTCCTCATGCCCGCGTCTAGGAAAGGATCAGCTGCTCCTGTGAGCTTTGTCTGTCGCTGCCTCGGGGGTTTGCTGAGAGACCCCTGCTGCTCTGTGCAGGAACCTGGAGGGAGCAGGGCCCAGATCCTGGCTTCAGGGAGCTTCCAGGGCGCGCCTCAGCGCCTCAGCGCCTCAGCGCCGCGAGGGGGCGGCCAGGTCCGAGAGCTGGAGTACTCATAGCAGCTCCTCCAGGAGAGACGGGGTCCATAGAATGTCAGTGCTGGCCGGGTCCCTGGCTATTCTGACCCAGTTCTTAGTTGTCCCACGGGGAAACTGAGGCCCAGGTAAGAGAAGGGGCTTGGCCAGGCCTAGCCAGCATGTTACAGTGGCTCCCTGGAGGGAAGGGGACTCTGAAAGGGTTTTGTTTTTTAAAATTATGTTTTATTTTATTTGTTTGCTTGTTTGTTTGTTTTAGTGAGTTTTAAAAAGCACTTATTGGGGTGACATTGGTTCATAAAACCATACAGGTTTCAGGTGTACAACTCAACATAACATCACCTGCACTCTGCATTGTGTGCCCATCGCCCCAAGCAAAGTCTCTTTCTGTCCCCTTTCTCCCCCTTTGCCCACCTACCCTCCCCACCCCGCTTCCTTCTGGCTATCACCACACTGTTGTCTGTATATATATACATATTTTTAAAAAATTTTTTTCTTAATCCCTTCGCCTTTTATCCAGCCCTCTAAGCCCCCTCCCCTCTGACAGCTGTCAGTCTCTTCCATGCATCCATGCTTCCGTTTCTATTTTGTTCGTCGTTTTATTTTGTTCATTAGATCCCATATAAAAGTGAGACTATGTGATACTTGTCTTCCTCTGGCTGGCTTATTTCACTTAGCACAATGCTCTCCAGGTCCCTCCATGCTGTTGCAAAAGGTAAGAGTTCCTTCTTTTTTGGCCCTGCAAGGGTTTTCCATGCCTCCCCATGTTCAGGCTGCTGAGCGCTCCCCAGTGTGAGAGGGGGATTTGATGAGGGTTTGCCAAAGAGGAAAAATGGAGCGAAATGCCAGAGTGCGGTTGCCCCAGGGTTTGACCTGGATTTTAGCAGCTGTTGAAACAACTGGTCCCTGGGCCTGTGGCCCCTGGAAGGGGCAGGTGGGGAAGAAATATTACCTGAGGGTCTGCCTGAGCCGGGACAGCTGGGCGGGAAGACAGCTGAGTAGGCAGCCTTTTGCCAAGAATAGCCGGGTTCCCTGCGACCTGGGACTCTCCTCTGAAAGCAAAGGATAGGCAGAGAAGGCTCGTACCTGGACCACCGTTCAGTTCCGGTAACAGACATCAACATCACGCAGGCCCTTGGCACAGGGAAGTGTTGTAGAAATGGATACGGAGATGACACTGACACCTGCTAGGCATGTGTGCCTCCTGGGGCCTCATTAAGAGGGAGGGCTCTGGGCCAGACCAGCAGGGCCCAACTCCTGCCTAGATAACAGGGGACAAGTCCCATAGCCTCTGTTTCCTCTCTGCAAGATAATGCAGCATATTAAAAGCCTATTGGGGCATGCACTAGGCACTTCATAAATGCTAGTTGCTGCTTTAATGGTGATCACATCGACACCTCATTGTTGATGGGCCCACCGGTCCCTTGGGCAGTGTTAGAAGCGGATGGGGGCTTCTTTCCCTTCTGCCTGCTTTTCAGAGCAGCTTTGCCTAAGGGAGGTGCCTGTCTGACCTAGGTCCCAGCAGAAGCTCTTTGTGGTACAGGATTGCCCTAAATCCTAAATCAAGATTGAGGACTCTCAGGAGCTCGGCCCAGGCACAAGGAACCAGCAGGATGGGGTCTGTGTCAGCTGACTTGCACTCGGTGTTTTATGTCAATTTCAAAGGGAGAAATTCGGACTCTCCTCCCCCCCCCCCTTATTTTACTCAAGGCTGGAGCCACTTGCCCAAGATCACCAGAACCTGCCTGGAAGCCCTTCTTCTGTCTCCTGGGCCTTTTGTGATTTTTAATTTTTTTCTAGCCCCTTAGTTTTTGTATAAGTCATTCTCATGAAATAACAAAAGCCAGCACTCTTGGGGACACGTATGGACCAGGCAGGCACTGTCCCTATCGTCACACAACAGCCCAGAAGAGAGGTGCAGGTGAGCGCCACAGGTGGGGCGGGGGAAGCTGGGTTCCAGAGCAGGACTGCTGGGCTCCAGGACCTGCCCCCTCAGTCACTGTGACCTCGGCTTCCTGGGATCTCGGTGGTGGAAGAGAGCCTTGGGCCCCAAACCAGGGTCCCACTCAGGCACCTCATCTCCACAAGAAATGGAGGGGGACATCCTTACATACGAAGAAGTAAGAGATGAGATTGTTTCCTGATTGTAGGGAACTCTAGGGTTTAGCCAGATTCTGGGAAATAGGTCCATTCAGGGGAGTCCACGGTTTGGGGTGATGGTAGTTTGGGGCTGGGTATTGTGGGCATTGTATGTACGTTTTTTAGATGATTTGCAAGTGCCCTGCACCAGGAGCCAGCGGCCTTTGGCCAGGGCTTGACTCTCCTGCCTACTGCTTGGGAGCTGAGATGAAGCACCTGCCGTCTCTGGGCCCGTGTCCTCAGCTGTAAAACTGGGACAGCAGAATCCCTTCGCAGGGTTAACTGTGAGGGCTGGGCGGCTGCCACATGCCAGCCTCCATGCACAGAGCATCCGTCAGTGGGTCTGATGACTGCGGTTGTTGATCAAATTCAGCATTAAAGCTCGTTGATCTCCCGGAGCCCAGCTCCCAGGTGAGAGGTGGTCCCTTCCCGCCTGTCAGGACCCTGTCCTGGCTGCTCGGGCCTGGGTGCCATGTGCTTTCCCACCACCGCTGCCAGTGCCAGAGGGAGACCTGCTTGCTTGGCCTCGTGTGTTGGGCCTGCCTTGGAATTGCGTGGCTTCCTCGTCCCGGAAGCTCTGTCTTTAAGGTTTGGTTTCCAGCCTGAGACAGCATCCAGCCAGGCCGGGGCCCCGGGGCCCTTGGCCTTGGATGAAAGGAGGACTCAGGTTGGAGCTGCTGCCCCGGGCCCTCTCCACTGGCTGCCCATGGAAACATCAGGGTCAGAAACACCTGCTTGCCCCTGTCTCCGTCTGTGTTTCACAAGCCCATCGCCTCTGGAATAGAGAAGGATGAGCTCTCCTCTGCTTGATGCGTGGTCCGGCAGGAAGGAGGGGCAGCCTCGGAACCTTGAGGTGCAAACAGGAAGGCTTTCTGAGCTCCCACCTTCCCAGGAGCCTAGGACCCAGGAGCCACACACACTCAGAGCACGGTGGGGCCAGCTCTGCTTTGTCCTTTCCTGAGTGACCTTGAGCAAGTTGCTTCCCTTCTCTACCTCCTGGGAGGTAGGCCCCTCCCAGAGTTTGAGTCCCATTTCTGCTGTGTGGCCTTGGGCGAGGCCTTTGCCTCTCTCAGCCTCAGGGTCCTCCTTCCCACAAGGAGGACTGGGTTAGGGGGCCCAGTTCAGGCCAGAGAACCCTACGGTCAGTCCTAGGAATGAGGTTACACACTTGCTTCCTCCTCCCGCCTTCCTCCCTCCCACTTGTTCTGGTCTGCACAGCCCTGAGGCTCAGACTTGGGAAGGAGGACGAGAGGGGAGGTTTAGAGGTGGAGTAAGATATTTTTCCTGGCTCTTTCTTTGCCCCAAAATGACTGTGGCTATGGCCAGCTGTCAAGGAATAGTCTTTTGCTGGGGCACAAGGTCCATGAAGAATGAGACCTGCCCAAGCTCACACTGCCAACCACACCTGCCTCAGTTTCCCCATCAGGTAACCAGCACTGGCACCTTCCAGCTCTCACTCAGCCCTAACCATTGCCTCTCTCCTCACTCTCCAGGCTCCCCACTGCACAAGCAGGCCTCGGCACCCTCTGTGGCTGTGCCTGCTGCCTCTGAGAAGCCTGGCCCGAAGGCAGCCGAGGTGGGCGATGACTTCGTGGGGGACTTTGAGGTCGGCGAGCGGGTATGGGTGAATGGCGTGAAGCCAGGTGTGGTGCAGTACCTGGGCGAGACACAGTTTGCACCCGGCCAGTGGGCCGGCGTGGTGCTGGACGAGCCCGTGGGCAAGAACGACGGCGCTGTGGGCGGCGTGCGCTACTTTGAGTGCCCGGCCCTGCAGGGCATCTTCACGCGGCCCTCCAAGCTCACCCGGCAGCCCACGGCTGAGGGCTCGGGCAGCGACACCCACTCGGTGGAGTCGCTGACCGCCCAGAACCTGTCGCTGCACTCGGGCACGGCCACACCCCCGCTGACCAGCCGCGTCATCCCGCTTCGGGAGAGTGTCCTCAACAGCTCCGTCAAGACAGGCAACGAGTCGGGCTCCAACCTCTCGGACAGTGGCTCCGTGAAGCGGGGTGACAAGGACCTGCGCTTGGGAGACCGTGTGCTGGTGAGTTCCTTCCCCCCACTGCTGCAACCCACTAGGCAAACTGGAACCAGGGGGCTGACAGGGGTGGGGTCCCGGCTGGGTCACCCACTCCTTGTTAGAACCACACAGAGGGACCAGGGAGACAGGTTAAGTGGGCTCTGCAGACTGTCGCTGCGTGACCCTGGGCAGGTGTCTTAACCTTTCTGGGCCTCAGTCTTCCCATCTATAAAATGGGAATTTTAATAGTACCTTCCTCATAAGTTGAAATGCATTAATATGTATAATGCCTTTAGATGGTGCCTCTACTTAGTAAGTGCCCCATAATGTTATTATCTATTATTGATGATATCCATTGATCTGGGCCACCATCATGGATGTGCCAGGCCTATACTGAAATGGCCAGGGACTAGAGTGCTCAAGACCCCTGGCCCAGGGTTGGTTCAGACACCTAATTAACCATAATGGAGAGTAATTAATCACTGTTGCTGTGGAGGAGAGAATTGGGTCACAAGAGCCCACGGGCTCTCTAGGCAAGTCTGCCTGCCAGGGTCCCTCTTCTCCAGTACTCCCGCTATTGGGGCAGGAGTAAGAGGGCGCAGTTGCCCTCAAGCCCTTCAGCGTCTGGATTCATCCTGTAGTATGAATGTGGGAGTGTTTTCCTGGCACCTGCTGTGAGCCAGACCTAGGCTGGGGGTGGCAAGGCACACAGGACAGGGCCAAGACCTGCTGTGCCAAATCCAGGGCCCAGGTGGCTCCGGGCTGACCCTGTCCTTCAAGAACCATGGTTTTGGGTAGGTGAGAATAACACCACGCGAGGAGGCTGGCTCGGCGTCTTCTGCTTCTCCCAAGCAAACAGCATCTGGTCCAACCTTAAGCATCGCTGCAATGACACCATCCCAGAGGACTTCCAAGAGTTCCAAACCCAAAATTGCAATCGCCTGGATACGTAAACCCAAGGAGCAATTCATAACTGCTTTTACAAACACTAAAGCCATATATTTTTTAACTTCCTACAACTTTCTTTATATATACTGTGGCTTTCTTTTACCAGCCCAAATATATCAAACTTTTTATATGAATGTAGCAATAAAGAAGAGATAATTTCTAAAAAAAAAAAATACCTGAAGGGTGTCAGGCAGGCCTGGGGTCTGAGGAGCCAAGGAAAGGTATCAGTTGGTGGAGAGAGCGGTTCCTGGGCTCAGGTCAGGTGGGGGCGCGTGGAGGGGTTTCCCACCTCAGGGTGGGGAGCACATGGCCGGAGCTCTCAGGCTGAGCGGGGAAGGGTTTGGCGGGCTCTGGAGTCCCAATGTGGGGATCCCAACAAGTTATCACCTGGGATCCTCCCTCCCCACTCCAGAGTCCTCGCACAGGGCCATGGCTTCTCTGGAGGCTTCTGGGAAGCGCATTTGGGTTGCGGGGGACGAGAGGAAATGTTTATACCCATTTCCCCATTGAAACCTCAAGCCTTCATCAGAGCTGGCAGCAGTAGCAGCAGACGCCCCATTGACTTCCCAGCCACAAGTGGGCTGAGTCCTCTCTTTGAGACACACTTTCTGGGGGGTGTGCCCCATGCCGGGCATCTGACCAGCACTTTCTGTACCTTGTCCCTATGGGTCCTCCCCTCTGCCTTACGAGATAGGGGTTATCCCCCCCGTTTTACAGATGAGGAAACTGGGCGCAGCCTGGGAAACAGCCTGCCCCGGACTCACAGCCAGGAGCTGATGGGCCATTCATCCCTTTATTCACTCATTAGCTGTACCTGCCCAGATGCCCTTGGGTTCTGGTGGGGAAGAGGAATCTGAACGAGGGGTTTGTTTCTACCACAAGGATCGGGCCTCACCTGCCCCGCCCCCCCACCCTCGCCTGCAGCTGCCCTTGGGTTAGTCCTCCTGGCTGGTCCAGCACTGCCAGGACCCAGCTGGCTTGCTGACCCTGGACCTTGCTTTTCTCCCCTGGACCTGCTGTGAACACCTGACACCTCTCCTCCGGTCCCTGTCTCACCCTTAAAAAATTACATCCCGGACATGGGTGACTATAGAGGCCTGACCTTACACAATTTGAGGATGAGGGACTCTAGGAAAAACTATATAAAAAACTACTGCTTTTGAAAGTTTTGTAAATCATGTGATTCCCATGAATGCACTGTCAGGGCCTTGGAAGAGGTCAATGCAGGTGAGGGTCCCTGTTGCCTGAGCTGTTAGCTTCACCAACCACAAGCCCGCTTCTCACCTGGGTCAAATGTGTGAGCTGTGTTCATTATTTATGAACATAAGTAATGGTATTTATGCTTATTAAGTTGTGCTGCACTTTAAAGATATCCCTGGATCCTGGTTTCATTTGGGCCTCAACACTACCCCATAAGGTCTATGTACTAGATAAATAATCATGGGCAAGTTATTTATCCTCTCTACCTCAGTTTCTTCTACTGTAAAATGGGGATAATAGTTCATCTGTCTTGCGTGGCTCTGTGTAACCTCTGTGAAGTGTTAGCTATTGTCAGCATTAAAGTCCGTATTGGGCCTGTCCAGTGTGGCTCAGTGGTTGAGTGTTGACCCATAAACCAGGAAGTCATGGTTCGATTCCCAATCAGGGCACATGCTCCGATTGTGGCTCCATCCCCAGTAGAGGGTGTGCAGGAGGCAGCCGATCAACGATTCTCTCTCATCATTGATGTTTCTATTTCTCTCTCCTTCTCCCTTGCTCTCTCTGAAAATCAATAAAAACTTTTTTTTAAATTCCATGATGGGTGGGCATTCTCCTCAGCCAGGGGGTCCTGGGTGCAGTGAAGTGCTCAGAGCTCAGGGAGGCTCCCTGAGGGCACACGGTGGCTCACAATGGCCTGAATGTCCTTGGCTTCTATTGGTCAAGCGTTTGCTGTGAATGGAATCCTGTGCCGAAAACTTTACACCCACCATCCATTTCTTCAGCCCTGAGAGGCCCTGGTCCCTGGAGGAACCTCTGGAGGGTGAGAAGGAGACCTGGAGACCACAGGAGAAACATGCCTCCCCTTCCCCGAATAGTGTCACCTAAATACTGGAAGTTGTATTACATGCCTGTCTGACCCGATTTTCAGATGCTGTTTGGAGCTGTGCATTGGGTTTCGTGGATCACCTCTTGTTCTCACAGTCGCCCATTTCACAGGCTGAGAGGCCCGCGTTTCCCACAGCACCTACAGTGGAAGCAGCCGAGCTGGGCCCAGAGGCTGGCTGTCCTGCCTGGCTTTTTCACCCTCTACCCCTGCCGTAGCCCAGGAGGTGGTCTGTCTGCATGGATTTTAGGGAAGTCGGTTTCAGAGGCGGCATGGCTGGTGTGGCAGACTCAGGGACCAGCCACGCAACCACCAGTTTAGGATTGAGGTTGTTGAAGACAAAAGACATTCCAGGTTGGAAATGCAGAGCAGCAGGAACCGAGAGGGCAGGGTGAGACCCGGTGACAGGAGAGGTTGGGAAGACAACCCCACCTGCGGGTCATTGACCAGTGAGAGCCGATCTTGACTCAGAGAGAGGCCTGCTGGGTTAGAAACCACCAGGCCCTGATTGTTGTTTGAGTGAGGACAGTGAGGCTCAGAGAGGGCAAGTACTTGCTCAGAGTCACACAGCAGGGCATGGGCAAGGCTGAGATGGGGACTCTGGGCTTCTACCTACCAGCCCAGGAACGTCCCCTGTGTCCCCCACCTTCAGTGTGCCCAGCAGCCTGGGTGGGGGAGCAGAAATGTCTTGGTCATCTACCATTGACACTGTGGGGCATAATTAGCAAGGAACAGAGAACGGTGTCTCAGGAAGGAAGAGGCCTGGCTGGCTGCTTGTGGCTCCAGGAGGCGCCCCAGGCCAAAGACGTGGAGACAGATGTGAGGTGGTGGGAGAGCTCTCTGACCCCCAAGGACGTCAGTGGCAGAAAGGCTGCCATGACAGGTCGGGCTCTCCAGGAGTAGCTGCTGAGGTGGGCTTGCGGTGCAGATGTTGATGAAGGATTTCAGCATCTATGGGAGACTGGGCAGAAGGAGAAGTCAGACTGCACGCAGGGGGATAGAGCTTGGCCAGCCCGGGAGCTTTAGAGAGAGACTGTCCATCACAGCACCCCGTGTTGAGCCAGGTGTCCACCTTTCAGTCACTTGGTGTGGCTGCCCCAGCAAAGGCCTCAGCTCATGTGAGGGGGGCCTGCAACAAGGGCCAGTCCCGAGGGGCTCGAAGCAGGGCAGCCAGGCCGTCCTTGAAGCGGGATCTGAGTGGAGCAGCTCCATGTAGGTGAAGGCTCCGTCCCTTCACCTTTCTTCATGTACTGGCCACAGAGGCAACCCGAGAGGGGTGGGACCTTTCCAGAGAACCACCTGCTACCCTCGCCCAGCACATATTTTTTATAATGTTTTTATTGATTTCAGAGAGGAAGGGAGAGGGTGAGAGAAATAGAAACATCAATGCTGAAAGGGAATCATTGATCGCTGCCTCCTGCATGCCCCACACTGGGGATCAAGTCCACAACCTGGGCATATTCCCTGACCGGAATCGAACCTGACCTCCTGGTTCATGGGTCGGCACTCAACCACTGAGCCACACTGGCCAGGCTCCCAGTACATCTTAAAGCTCACAGCCGAGGCCAGCCTAGCATGCAGGTAACCAGAGTGTACCAGCCCACCAGGCAGTCTGACCAGCAATACTCCCCCACTGGGTCGGTCGGTTCTCCACAGGGCTGTGTCCCTCCAGGGTCCTCTTGGCAACTGGCCCGATTAGGTATGGGAACAGGGTCCTGAGAGATGAAGAATGAGGTTCTCTCTCTACCAGTCCTGCCCCCACAACCCCTGGGTCAAACACCCAGCAGGGGGTGTCGAGGTGGCAAAGTGGGAAGGTAGGCTTAGGGGTTGTACAAGCCTAGGTATGAGCTCAGCTCTGCCCCTGACAGCAGTTTGATCCTGGGCAGCATAATAAAAACAGTAAATAGAGCCCTAGCCGGTTTTGCTCAGTAGTTAGAGCGTTGACTTGCAGACTGAAGGGTCCCAGGTTCGATTCCGGTCCAGGGCATGGACCTTGGTTGCAGGCACATCCCCAGTAGGGGGTGTGCAGGAAGCAGCTGATCAATGTTTCTCTCTCATCAATGTTTCAACTGTCTATCCCTCTCCCTTTGTCTCTGTAAAAAATCAATAAAATCTATTTAAATATCTTACTTTCAAAAAATACTAAATAGAGAAGGGGCAGTTCTCATCACTGGAGGGCAGGCCTGGCACACACGGGAGGGAGCCGCTGCAGAATCAGGTGAGCTGGCCTGGGCGGGGCTCAAACACCAGACCCGTCCCCTCTGGAGACTGTCCCCCTCTTTCCGCTCTGCTCCCATCTCTGAGGATACCTGCCTGGTTTCATCCTGTTAAAGACAGAAAGGGACAGAGGATTCCGTTCCGGAGGCAGCTGAGGACTAAGGTTGTAGCAGCACCTCGCTGGGGCGGGGGCAGGCTTGTTAGTGCTCTAGCCAGACTCCCACCCCAGGGGAGAGCGGCCCTGAGTACTGCTTGCTTGGTCATAGCTCTGTAAACCCGGATTGACCAACAACCCTACGGGGTGGCAAGCCCGGAAGTAGGTGTGAAGCAGCGGTGATGGGCATCTAGCACCTCCCTTCCTTGATGGGAAGTCAGTGAATGGCACCCAAAATTGAAAAGGCACAAAGTAGCAACATAAGCATGTCAGTTAGAAATATGGAGGTAAAATACCAAGCAGTTCAGCTAAAAGAGTTACCGTTTTGCTTCTGGGGAGAAGCAGAGAAACTTCCAGGGCGGCTTTAGAAGTATCTGACTCTTTATGTATAAATAACTTTAATTTTTTAAAAACTTAACTATTTTTACAGTAATAGTCTCACTTATTACTCTATCCTGTGAATTTTTTGACTGTGGTAAAATACACATAAGAAAATGTACCTGCCCTGACCGGTTTGGCTCAGTGGATAGAGCGTCAGCCTGCGGACTCGAGGGTCCCAGGTTCAATTCCATGTACCTTGGTTGCGGGCACATCCCCACTGCAGGGTGTGCAGGAGGCAGCTGATCAATGTTTCTCTCTCATTGATGTTTCTAACTCTCTATCCCTCTTCCTTCCTCTCTGTAAAAAAATCAATAAAATATATTTTTTAAAAGAATATGTACCTTCTTAACCATTTGAAGTGTACAGTTCAGTATGTTAAGTACATTGATGCTGTCGTGCAACAGATCTACAGATTTTGTTCATCATGCAAACCTGAAACTGTTCCTTAAGCTACAACTCTTCGTTTCCCTCTTCCTGCCAGCCCCTGGCAACCACCATTTGAAACATCCATTTTAAAGGATAAAATGTATTGAGACTCTAGTATGTACTGCACACACAGCACTTAGCCCTCACAAAACCCTTTTCACAGATGAAGGTGCTGAAGCTCAGAGGTTCGGTAACGTGCTCAAGCTCACACTGCAGAGTTTGAATGCGGGTCTACCTGTCCGTCTGAAAGCTCTTGCCAGGGGCAGCCCCGAGAAGCACTGGTTATACCTGTATCCCTCCTCACCCCAGCTCTCCTCTCTCCAGCACATTGGAAAGGAGGGGTGGGGTGAGACTGGCACCTGGGTGCCTGCACCACCTCTGCCCATGCCCACTGTATGCACTAGCCCTGAGTCTCTCCGTGTGCCAACAGGTTGGCGGGACAAAAACTGGCGTGGTGCGTTATGTGGGGGAGACGGACTTTGCCAAGGGCGAATGGTGTGGCGTGGAGCTGGACGAGCCCCTTGGGAAGAACGATGGGGCGGTGGCAGGCACCAGGTACGGCGGGCTTCCCCCAGGAGTGTGGGAGGGGGCTTGTCTTTGCCTGGGGTGGGTACAGGGGACAAGAATGGGGCAGCTGAGGAAGCCAGTGTTGAGTGTGTGGGTGGCTGTGCCAGACACCACAGTACAGATGCTGCCTCCATCCTGTCACAGCAGTGTGCAGGGCAGATAGTGGAGCTATCATCTCCATTTTACAGATGAGGGAACGGAGGCCAGAAAGGTCATTGCTCAAGGTCACACAGAGTCGGGCAAACGCTAGGAGAGGCAGTGGTCCCTGCCTCCTTAGGATTTCTCTGGGCAACACAGGAAATCAGACAGTGAGCTCTGCAGGCAAGGGTGGGATCACAACTGTTTCTATGCTCCACGCCATCTCCAGTTAAAGGGAACTGACTGTGGGAATGCGGGGTCAAGGGGGTCTAAGACTGTGTCTCAATCATTGGGGATGGGGTTGGTGATATGATGGGTGAGCAGTGTCAGGGATGTGGGCTCAGGCTAGATGGACTGCGTTCCTGCATTGGCTATGCCTGGATTAGCTTCTGTGGCCCAGATGAGTCTGTGGCAGCTCTGAGAAGGAAGCTATGCTAGGCTGGGGGACAGCCCGAGCAAAGACCTTAATGCAGGAAGAGGAGGGGCGGGGTGGTTGTTTCAAAGTGAGTCAGAAACTGGACAGAACTAGCTTGCCTGGTCCCATTAGAATCCTTGACCGGAGAGATTTCAAGAGATCACCCAGAGTTTCCATAACAACACTTTGCCTTCCTGTTTTCAAGACCGATATTTCTCTCAACTTACTCCTGCTTTCTGACCTCAGGGGCAGGTTAGGTAGCAGCCCCCCACCCCCACCCCCAACACACACACACTTTTGCTTCTCTATTCAGGGAGTTCCGTGGCAGATAGCTGATGAGGTTCCTTGGGTCTGGGGTGGACCAGGGGTAGCCATGAGAGTGGGGCTGCAGATATGCCTGGTGGCCTCTGAATGGAGCCAAGCATAGTCGGTTTTGGAGCCCAGCAGGCTAGAGGTTCCATTCCCAGCATTGCCACTTGACCAGCTGTGTGACTGTGAGCAAGTTACTGAACCTCTCTGAACCTGTCTCTTCATCTGTGAAATGTAGACAATAGTGGAGTGGTTGGGGGCTTAAAATGAGCATTCATGAAAAGGGACTGGGGCAGAGCATGTGCTCAGTAATTGTTATTCGCCTGCTCCCCCCAGATATGCCCAACAGCTGTTCCCAACCCCCATACATACACCAGGACACCCCGCCCCGGCCCCAGCTGTTCACAGCTGCAAAGTATCTCAGGCCCTACTTACTCTAATCCCTTTCTGGGAGTCTCTCCTACTGGTCTTGGGATATGGGTGATTGTAGCATAAGGATGAGCCTCTCTACTGGGCTCTGAGGAGGTGGGGAGGCAGGTGAAGCTGCAGGCTATGCGGCCATGATGCCAGCATGGGTCTCTCTTGCTTCCCCAGGTACTTCCAGTGCCCACCCAAGTTTGGTCTCTTCGCGCCCATCCACAAGGTGATCCGCATCGGCTTCCCGTCCACCAGCCCAGCCAAAGCCAAGAAGACCAAGCGTATGGCCATGGGTGTGTCAGCGCTGACCCACAGTCCCAGCAGCTCCTCCATCAGCTCCGTCAGCTCTGTGGCTTCCTCTGTGGGGGGCCGGCCCAGCCGCAGTGGCCTGGTGAGGGTGGGGCTGGGAGGGGTGTCCTGATGTATGTGTGAGAATTGAGGACAGAGGGATCCAGGTGCCCCTGACTTGCATTAGCGCCAGGCATCCTCAGACTGGAGTTTTCGAGGAGAGATGAAAGCACATATCTTTTAACGAGGAAAATTGATCCATTTACATTATTGTTATTTTTATATTACTGATTTGTCAGTAGCCTGAGTCTTTCCTGGGAGTTGAGGGTCATATAGATGCAGGGCAGGTCATACAGGTGCAGGTTTCAAAAAGGTTGCCACAGGCACCCTGGATGAGGGGAAAAGGTGAGGCTGCCCTTCTGGGCAGAGAGCTTCTAGCCAAGCTCAGTCTAGGGCAGTGGTTCTCAACCTGCTGGCCCTTTAAATACAGATCTTCATGTTGTGACCCAACCATAAAATTATTTTCGTTGCTACTTCATAACTGTAATGTTGCTACTGTTATGAATCATAATGTAAATATCTGATATGCAGGATGGTCTTAGGCGACCCCTGTGAAAGGGTCGTTCGACCACCAAAGGGGTCGTGACCCACAGGTTGAGAACCGCTGGTCTAGGATGGAAGGTTCCTCCTGACTCAGGAGAAGGTGGCCCCGGCTGTGACTCTCCTGGGAGGGGGGAGTTTCCTGAATCTGAAATAATACGCTTCCCCCTGCACAAGTAGGCAGGGGCACTAGCATGGGGAGGAGCAGGCCCCTGGGAGTGCAGGCTCTTGGGCCCCCACCTGCTGGGTGGCTGTCGGTTATCTGGATGGTGCTCAGATCCTGAGTCCTGCCTGCACCCATGCCCTCCTGCAGCTCACGGAGACCTCTTCCCGCTACGCCCGCAAGATCTCCGGCACGACTGCCTTGCAAGAGGCACTGAAGGAGAAGCAGCAGCACATTGAGCAGCTGCTGGCTGAGCGGGACCTGGAGCGGGCTGAGGTGGCCAAGGCCACGAGCCACATCTGCGAGGTGGAGAAGGAGATTGCCCTGCTCAAGGCGCAGCATGAGCAGGTGGGTGGGCAAGCGGGCAGTGGGCACCCAGAGGGGCACCAGCAGCCTCCCAGGCCAGGCTCACAGGTCACTCACACTCAGAGCGCAGGTGATGGATGTGCAGAGAAGACTCCTTCTCCAGCTGGCGGAAGTCCTTCCAGTGGATAGGTTCACACACTTTCAGAAGCTGGATAGAGTCCGGTCGGTGAGGCTCAGGGGTTGAGTGTGCACCCGTGCACTGAGAGGTCACGGTTCGATTCCCGGTCAGGGCACATGCCTGGGGGGCAGGCTTGATCCCCAGCAGGGGTTGTGTAGGAGGCAGCCGATCAGTGTTGATATTTCTCTCCCATCGATGTTTCTATCTCTCTCTCCCTTCCTCTCTCTCTTAAAATAAATAAAAACATCTTTAAAAAAAGAAAGTTAGAAAAAGAACCTGGAAATAAATGTCCCCTGCTTTTTCCTACCTCCTCAGTACGAGCCTTTCCTCGGTCATGGAACATTCTTCCCCGTCTGAACAGCTGCGTTGCCGCTGTCACAGGCTGCGTCCTTGCTGACGTGGCCAGTCCCCTGCTATTGTTTAAATTGTTTCCAGTTTCTCACTTTTTCAAAATAACTCTCGTGCACACATATTCTGTGTACACCTGTCCCCGTTTCAGATTGAACTTTCGAGCAGATTCGTGGGTTGGGCTTCAGGGAAGTAATCCCCTGCCCACAGCCTTGAGTCATCTGCTGTCGCATGTCTACTCTTCCCTGATGTTTGTCACCTGCATGAGAGCCCCCTCCTGGGCCACTGCCCCCATTTGGGGCCAGCTCACCGCTCTTTTGGGTGCTGGAATTAATAAGGCCAAGTTCAGCCCTAGCCAGTTTGACTCAGTGGATAGAGCATTGGCCTGTAGCCTGAAGGGTCCTGGGTTCGATTCTGGCCAAGGGCATTTGCCCAGGTTGCAGGCTTAATCCCCAGTAGGGGGCAGCGTGCAGGAGGCAGCCAATCAATGATTCTCTCTTATCTTTGATGTTTCTCTCTCTCCCTTCCTCTCTGAAATCAATAAAAATATATTTAAAAAATAAGGCCAAGCTCATGTGTGCTGTGGCAGGGGCCTTCACAGGACAGTGTGTTTTAGGTCCTTGGGAGTTGGGGGAGGTGGCAGATATTGGGGTGCTAGATATGGGGGCAGGTGGACTTGAGGTTCCCACTGGGTGAGGCCGCAGCTAGGCCTACCCCTCACATCAGGCCCACAGTCCAAGCTCACCTAAGGCTGGCAGGGGAGTAGGGGTGGCTAGGGTTCCAGGCCTGACTCCTTGCACCACCCCTGCTACCTCCCACCCTTCCCTCACTTGGCCCCTGGTCCCCAGAAGGAGGCTGACCCTGTTCTGCCCTTGCTGGGGGCCCAGTATGTTGCAGAAGCAGAGGAGAAGCTGCAGCGGGCCCGGCTGCTGGTGGAGAGCGTGCGGAAGGAGAAGGTAGACCTGTCCAACCAGCTGGAGGAGGAGAGGAGGTATGTGCTGCCCCTGCCCTGATCCTGGGAGCACATTTTCTCTGCGCCTCTGTAGGATGACCCCGGTCCAAATCCGGCTTCCACCACTTACAGGCTGCGTCACCTGGACTAGTGACATGAGCTCTGTGGGCCTCAGTCATCTCATCTGTAATGTGGGCTGGTGATCCCCATATCTACAAGCTGTTGGGGGCACTTACACGATAATTCCAGTAAAGCACCTGGCATGTGCTGAACACATGGGGACACTGTCCTTCCCACTTGTGTGGGTTCACTGTTCCTGCCACACACGGCTCAGGAAGCCTGTCATGAGGAGAATGCCCCGTGGAGGGGTTGGCCTGTGCCCCGTGCCTCTAGGGAGATATGCACCATGAGGAAGAGCCAGTGCTCTCACCCCTTGAACCAGCTCAGGTCCGCTGAGCGTCCCTCTGGGCCAGGTTCTGTGCATGGAGCTCATAGCTCCTGTCCAGAAGCTCTGTTCCCATTTCACATGTCAAGAGACTGAGGCTTAGAGAAGCAGCAGCAAAGGGATGCTTGAAACGCCTGGCACCTGGTGTCAGCCGCATGCTGAGTGCTGTACCGGCACCGTCTCAACCTCACTATTAGCCTAGGCAGGTGTTAATTCATGTCACTCATGAGAAACGGAGGCTCAGGGTAGAAAAGGGACTTGTCCCAGGCCACCAGCCTGTTCATCATTCGCTGGTTCTTCCTGCCCAGGCTCGGTGGCTAGTGGGGCTGTGGTTCCCTTTCTGTGGGTACCCTGGCCTGGCTTGGTCCTGGGTCGCCTGGGGGACAGGGTTTCCCTTGGCCCAGGAGCTTCTCTGTCTTCTGGCTGACACAGATTTCTGTGGCTTCCTTCCCTTCCCCATGTAGTAGGCAGCCGCCCACCATGGGTCTGTTTTGGGGCTTTCAGCCAGGCATGTGCTGCACAGGCTGTTACCATCTGACTGGGGAGGGGAGGGCTTACTTAAATCTGCCAGAGATGCTTGTCAGGGTCCACACATCTGGTTCCCATGGCAACACGCCTGCTTGCCTAAAAACAAAAGCAGATCTTTAGACATTGTGGGATTTGTGTTCAGGAAGGGCCTGGGTACAAGACCCAGCATTGCCCTGGATGCGCTTGGGCGGGTCCCTTGCTCTTTCTGGGCCTCAGTTTTCCTCATCTGTATGCTGGGAGCTGTCAGAAGCCCAACAAGAGCCGCTTTGTGAGCTGTAATGTGCCTGTGTCTCCCCTGTGGTGTCTTGGCACACGGGTGGGCGGATGTGTCTCCCTGCGGATGGTGCCCTCCACCTCAGGGAGCAGTGAGATTGGGACTGTAGCCCCCAGTTTTGAGGCCTGTGAATGAGTGTGGGTCAGCAGGGAAAAGCCTACCCTCCTTCCCTGCCTCCCCCCACTATACCACCCACCCTTCACTATTCCGTATGGCCGTGTCCGTCCCCTGCAGTGGTGAAAACAGAGTGGCCACTAGCATCACTCTGTGTTCATTTATTCCCACAGCCACCCTGGGAGGAGGATGTGGCATTGAGCACTCCCATTTTAGAGAAGTCGTGGTCTCTGTGTGGAGCACAGGCCGGGAAGCTGGGAGGGCTGGAGGTTTGCAGGAGGTTCTGCCCCATCATCCGTGTGGCTCTGGGCAGGTGTCCCCTAGACGGGGACAGCACCTTCTGTGTGGTCTGACCTCGGACTCTGGGCCATCTGTGGCCTCATCTCTCTGCCACTGCTGACTTGGGGAAGCCCACCTGTCTGGGCAAAGCCCGCTCAGCTCCCTCTCCCCCCTCCCCTCCCCGCAGGAAGGTGGAGGACCTGCAGTTCCGCGTGGAGGAGGAGTCCATCACCAAGGGAGACCTGGAGGTAACAGTCACAGGCACCGCCTGGCTTGCTCGGCACCCCAGGCCCAGCCCTTGTGGGCAAATGGCCATGCGGTCCAGGCAGCAATTCCGAGCCCCCTCGGAGGGGCCATGGGGGTTTTGAGGGAGAAGTGAAGAAGGGTCATACTCTGGGAAAGTGGGGAGGGGTTGGTCATGAGAGACTCAGATGTCTCAGGTGGGAATGGCTCAGCTCCCGGAGCCTGAGGGGCCATACTTCTTGTCTTGGCCATCAAGGCATCCACAGGGCCTGAGGACGTATTGGCTGGACTCCTCAGTCCCTGCATGGTTGGGTAATGGCCCTAAAGGTGGCCCTTGGGCCCTTAGTTCATCTTAGGTTCCAGGTAAAATTTTGGCTAAAATTAGCTTGTTGTTGAGTCACAAAAATTATAGGTGGAAAAACAGACTCAGAAAGGCAAATGGACTCACCCAGTAATAGAGCAAGTCAGCAGCCCCTGGGACCAGGGGCCACGACTCCTGACTCCTGAGCTCAGCCTGAAAGGATGGCCATTATAGCACCTCCTTGTTATAATGCCTGAACAAGTGGTCTAGACACAGTGGACCTTGCACTCTTCAATCCAGCCCACCCTTTCTAAGCTGAGGGACGGGGTGTTCACATCAATTAGTAAAGCACCCCACCCTCCCCATCCCAGCCCTCCTCACGAAACCATGCAGATACCACAGAGCGTTCAGTCCCTCCCCACATGCTGAGCTGCCCCAGCGGGCCTTGGGCAGCCTCTTCCCTTCTCGAGCCTCAGTTTGCTCTACTGTAAAATGAAGAGGTCGAACTAGGTCAGTGATTCTCAAACTTGAGGGTTCATCACCTGGGTGGCTTGTTCAGATACAGAAGGCTGGCCCCAGCCTCATTCAGCTGGTCTGGGTGGAACCTGAGATTTCTAACGAGCTCCCAGGTGATGCTGTAGGGTCACACTTTGGGAATCACTGCACTAGATCATTCTGAGCTCAGATTGGAACTTGCAGTTTCTGATTTTGTAAAAGAGCTTTAGTAATATCCTTATAAGTTCCAAAGTAGCGCAAAAGCATGCGAATGGTTGTCCTCTCCCCTAGATGACTCCCGCTGGGGAGGGACATGTATGATCTGCACAGGGTCACTGCCAGCTGCCCCTGTTGGGGCAGGTTTTCCTTCTCAAGCTTAAAGGATAGATGTCAGGGCACAACATGGCGTAGGAGCCCCAGGCCAGCGTCAGGGTGTTCTCATGGATGTTTCCCTCTTAGCCAAGGGGGCAGGTCATGGGGTTATGTTTGGCTGGCTTTCCCACTGGATGGCTGCCTCCAGTGGGGTGGGCTTCTGGGAAAAGTGCCTGTAGGTGAAAAGAACAGAGACCCCCTCCTGCCAACTCCAGTCAACGGGGAAAAGCCTACAGGGAAATCTCACAGGTAGTTCAGGGAACTGGAACAAGAAACAGCATTAGGATCCAAGCCCGTTCTCTCCCACCCAGGGATTTCCCTCTTCTCATGACATGTGGTCAGGCTTCGTGTCTGTCTGTCTCTCTCACCGTGTCTCCATGCCCCTTGGTACGTCTGTTCCCTCTCCCCACCACCCACCCAGCCTCCTGGCCCCACTCAGGCTCCAGCATCCACTAGCTACTAGCTGTCCTCTCAAGAGAATCTGATTGATCCCAGGATAGCCAATAAGCTATCTGACTTTAGATCAGCTTCCATCCCAGATCCAATTGGTCTTGGCTGGGAGAGGCAGGGGGTGGGACAGACAATGACTGACAGCTAATTCAGTCCAAAGGCTCAGTCCGGGCCCACTTGCCTCTTGGTCCACACTCTCCTGAGAGCTTCCAGCCTGTGACATTAAATGTCCTTAATAAGCCCACAATTCCCCGGGTCTTCCCTGAGCCCTGCACTGACGTGCCACCTGGTCATCTCCACCTGGACAGGTCGGTGACAGGCACCTGTAGCACTTTCCTGGGTCTGCAGTAAAATAAAAAAAATTACTATAACTCGGTGGCTTAAAACAACACTAATTTATTCTTTGATAATTCTGGAGGCCAGAAGTCTGAAATCAAGGTGTGGGCAGGGTCATTCCTTTTGGAGGCCTCTGGGAGAATGCTCCATGCCTCCCCCCCAGCTCTGGTGGGTTGCTTGTAGCTGCTTCCCTGCCTCCCTCATCACATGGCCTTCCTCCCTGTGTGTTCCTGTGTCTCTTCACGTGACCTTCTTACAAGGACAGTCATTGGATTTCAGGCCCACCTTAATCTAGTCTGACCTCATCTTAACCAATTACATGTGCAAAGAACCTATTCCAAACAAGGTCATGTTCTGAGGTTCCAGGTGGGCATGAAATTTGGGGGATGCTATTCAGTCCAGTACAGGAGCCCACATGTGACATGTCCCAAACAGATCTGTTTGTTCCTGTCTCCCCCTCACACCACCCCGCTACCTTTCTCATCTCACACCTGGCCCACAATCCACACAGGTGCTCAGGCCCCACAGCTCAAATTCACCTTGAACCTTCTCTTTCCCTCACCTCTCATCTGACATCCTTTTGACCTTGCCGCCAAAATGATCTTCATCCCCACGCCCACCTTCCTGGGTCAGCCACAGCGCCCTGCCTCGGACAGCTGCACAGCCAGTTGGCTGCTATGTTTCTGCTCTTATTCAACTGTCTGTTCTTCACACTGAAGCCACGTAGACTTTTTAAAAATATCTTTTCAATTTTTAACATTGGAAAATTTTGAACCCTCTTTTACACATTCAACGATTTTCACCTCATAGTCACTCGTTTCAGCCACACTCCCCTATCCTCTCCCATGTTATTTTGAAGCAAACTGCAGACATCATATGACCAAATCTTTTAAAAACGTAAACCAGATCCTGCCCATTTTCTGCTCACACATCCATGCCACCACCCTAGATAAAAGCCAGGCTCTGGAGAATGGCCCGGAAGACCCCACGCTCTGTCTGCCTCTGAGCTTCTGCAAGTGCTGGTTCCTCTGCCGGAAACACTCACTCCTCACCCCTGCCTGGGTCAGTGGGTCCCTGCTTCCCCTGCAGGTCTCACCTTGAGGAGGCCTCTTGGGAGCTTCCGCAGCCTCCTCCTTTACCTCCATCCCACTTGCCCGCCACCCGGTGCTCTGTCCCTATTTTGAGCCACAGCCTGAAGTTATCTTCCCTGATCATTTATTGTTTGCACCCCTCCCTAGAATGTGAGCCCCTTTTTTGGGGGGTGGGGACCCTGTCTGTCTTTTTTCCGTTTATGTCCCTGAAGCCAGAGCAGAGCAGGGGCATGGCCAGTGCTTCTCCAGGAGGGAATCCCGGGTCACAGGCTGGGATGTGTTTTGTGGTCCCCACAGAGGTGTTGCCCTGTTGCATCATAGAAACCTGTGCCACTCCCTGCCACCAAGGTTCAGGTTATTTTGTGTTAATTAAATAGCCCCTCAGTGTTTTTATTCATTTTCATGTAACAGAAAGAGCCGGTTTTATGAACACAGAATCAGCTATTGGTTGAGGAGGATTTGGTGTGAGACCTGAAGGGACATCTAGAGGAGTGACATGTGCCCATGACCTTCAGGAGCCCCTTGTGCAATTGGGGAAACTCCTTCCCCGTTTAATTAATAATAAAATGTGCCCGGCGTGGCTGTGTGCTTTGGATGGGGTGACACGGTCCGTGTGAGGAGAAGGAAATGAGCCGCAGGCCCTTCAGGCTGGACTGAGCTCCAGGACCGGATGCTCAGGAGTCTCTGTCACGGCTCCCGTTGCCGGCGGAAACCCTGCCTCCCCTCTGAGTCCAGCTGGTCCGGGAAAGGCGCCAGTCCTGGGGTCCAGTGGCCTGAGTCTGGACCTTGCGCTGCCCGAAGTGCAATTCTGAGCCCAAGGCCTTATCTGCCTGCAGTGGCCTCTCCCGCAGGCTGGGGAGACGGCCTTGATGGTGGCTTTCAGAACAGTAACCCCAGGGGCCCTGACAGTGTCTGAAACAGGAGTGCGGTGGCCCCCCACAGGCCCTGGGCAGTGCCCTGGAGCAGAATGGAAGGCCAAACCGTCCACCCCACAAAGGTGGGGGGGCCACAGAGGTCAAAGCCTCTGAGCCTGCCCCTTAAGCTCCTACATCGAATTTACCTTAATTAACTGAGCACCAGAGCAATTCCACTGAGCTCCCCTGTGCCCCCACAAAGACCCCCGTCCATGGACCAGGAGGCTAGATATTCTGAAGGTGATGGAGAAGAGTCCTCTTGGGGGTGGGGACACACACACCAAATGAAATGGCCCTTAAATTGTAAGGCTCGGGGCTTTCCTTGCCTGTGGGGCCACCAGAAGGGCCACCAGTAGGGCATTTATGGCCATGCTCCGTCTGGCCTGGGTCTCGGGCAGTGCTGCTGTACCCACCATTGGGGAGAAGGGGGCAGGGAGATGGCCTGCGAGGCTGGGATGAGGCACCATCGTCAGCCTGTGATTTTCTGGAAGAGACTGAGCGTAGCTGCTTGTTAGCATTGCAGCCAGCTGCCCTCTTGAGAGAGAAAGAGGGAACCTCTTTAGTTCTTTTAGGAAAACTCAGAAATATATAAGGTCACAGGCCACCGGACATGAACGTCTCAGTAGTTCTTGATGAATTGCAGACGTATTTCAGGGACGGGAGGTACCAGTTTACCCAGCTGCCCTCAGCCCTGCCGGTGTCAGGTGTGTATTCTTCTTACAAATATGTGCCCGTTGGTGAACCTGCCTCTTCAGAACCGCCCCACGGACTTGCTTTAACCTTGTTTCTCCTGGACGAGGAGGGGACAGGCGGGAGGGTAAGGAGGACCATGCCTCTCCCTACCGTGAACTGGTCTCCATGCTAGTCTGGTGCTCACCGCTCTGCTATGGGAACCCAAATGCCAGCCGGATGCCCAGAGAATGCCGGGCTTTGTTAGTGTGTGAAGTGGGAGTTGTGAAGCTGGGACAGAAATGCCCTTGTGCTTTCGGGAGACTGGCTGTCTCTGCAGGGCCCGGGGGTAGGGGTAGGGCACCACAGGCTGGGCTTGGGGCTGGACAGTGGGAGGCACAGCTCAGCCTCCACTAGGGAGGCCAGGCTGGGAGAACCATGATGATGTGGGTATAGTTTTGAAAACCTTCCATTCATTTGGTTCATCCACCTTCAGTACAGGCCTGAGGGCCAGGAATCCTGGGGTCATTTACTGTTCATCCATCCTGGTGGCCTGTGCAGGACCCTGGGCCTGGCCTGAAAAGCAGCCCGCAGAGTCCCCGTGGGGAAGGGGAGAAGGCTGGCGCTCCTCCCCAGAGCTGCAAAAGGGTGGGCCACCTGGAAGTGACAGAAGGGACCCAGGGTGCCCTTAAAGAAACCCAGCCAGGACACGAGGGCAGGAGGCAGGCCCACCTCACCAGACCTTTCTTTCCCTCAGCCACCTCCTCTCCTCGACCTGTTTTCCTGTCTTGTTCATGGTAGATGACACCGCC